ATGAAGGGACCAGCCGAAAATAATTCTGCGTCCTCTATCGCGACGAAAGAAAAAGAGAAAGAGAGAGAGAGAGAAAAAGAACCCTCAGGGCTGCCCAATTATCGTGGAACCTTTCTTGAAACCCACTATTTCGCACTTCGGGCTTTAAACAAACGAACGGTACACTCTTCTGTGTGCTTCCCCCCCCCATAAAACAATTCGTCTTGCTCCTGCCATTTTACTCAACGTTTTAAAGAATCCCATCGAGAAAGGAACCACCAACTACGATTACGATAATCGATCGTTTTTACCGAAAAATACTACGACCAACGTAACCCTTCTTCTTCTTCTTCTTCTTCTATTTCTTTTACTTTTGTTTGCCTTTCTTTTTTTATTTTTATTTTTCTTCCTTCCTTGCTTGCTTCCTTGCTTGTTTGTTTTATTTTTCTTCTTCTTTTTATTTCAACATTTTATGTTAGTTCTTATTTACGATCGTAAGAACTAAAACGTTTTTTTTTTTTTTATCGTGTTTTACTGATCCTTTAGTGGAAAGTGTTCAAGATCATGAAAAATGTAGAAAAAGAATAATGTTACTATGGTTGAACTTTTGGAAAGGGGAAATAATGGAACAATGACTGTAATGTTTCTTAGTACTTTGATTTTTCATTTTTCTATAGTTTGATCTATCATTCGTTTATATGTTTTTTTTTTTAGATATGTTATAGATATATACTATTAATAATTGGTTTTCAATCGAATATAATAATTATAATAAGTACAGTATTTAATTATCGTAAAATATTGAAATATGTCAAATATTATTTAATAATTTTAAGTGGATGGCACATGAGAGAAAGAAATGTCCCCCGAGAATCTGTAGGTTTTTGTTAAAGTGGCCCACAACCCAATAATTAATAAAATAATATGAAAACATAATTTATCAAATATGTATAAAAATTTATTCAACTCGTAAATGATGACGGAATATTATTTAAAGAGTAATTCGCGAAAAGTTTTAAAAATAAAATATCCGTAATAATAATTTATCCCTCACAAATGAACGTTTGAAATATTTTCGAAAAAAAATATCGTTTTTTAAAATATTATATCAGTGAATCTAATGAAAACGTACCATCATCGTTTAGGAGTATTCATAGCTTTAAAGAAATGGTACTTCAAATGCTTTTAAATTTTAATAAGAATGAAAATGCAAATATATTCTCAATGTAATTAAAATCTAATGAAAGATTTAGATAATTTAAAGGTAAAAAAACAAACGAGATTCGTCAATTTAAATGGAAATTCATTTCAATCGTTTACATAACCGATTTAAAAACATTTCATTATTATTATTATAATAATAATATCGTTTACATCAATTCATTATGTACATTTCAATCGATAATTAATAATCTTCAAAATTTACAAATTTTCTGTACAAAATTTTTTACAATTATCATAATTCTAAGTGTTAAATAAAAACTCTGAAACCAAGTTACCGAAAAGTTTATAAAGTAAAAGTTTCGAATGATTGGAAACTAAAAGAGAGATAAAGAAAAAGAAAAAGAAAAAGAAAAAGAAGAAGAATAATAAAAAAAAAAGAAACAAAACGATGCTTCTTGACTTTTCAATTTTCTTCTATCTCCGTTTATCCGATTCTCGGGTACTCACACCGCGATATTCGGAAAACGATCGATCGACGATATTCAAGGCGGAATCGAGTGGTAGTGTAAAACGGTTTTGCGGAAAGTTACGTACCGGCATCGAGAAACTCGGCCCCGTGCTATTCGCATAGCACATCGAAAGTAGTTTCGAGAAGAATCGGGGCTGAGAAGAGGGGGAAAGGGGGGGGGACGAGGGTAGTTATATGTACGTGTTCTGAAGGAATTCAAAGTTCAAGAAGGACTTTTCTTTTCTTTTCCATCCTCACCCTGTACTTTATTTTTTATTTCCCCCCCCCCTCTTTCTTCCTTCCTTTATTTCTTTTATTTTTATTTTTATTTTTTCTTTTCTTTTAAGGAAAAGGATCGGCCTGTTCCTCTTAAAACTCGACGTTCCGTAAAAGGATTTAGGCTTTCTCGTCAACGAAGTTTTTCGCGAGTTAAAACCGTCTTTAAATTAAGAAGAAAAAAAAAAACAAAAAAGAAATAAAAGGAACATTAAGAGAGTGAATGAGTGAGAGAAATGGGAAGAAGTAAACTTCGTTTTGGGATCGAAGGAAATCGTTTGAACCTTCTTCTCTCGACATTTCATTCGAATCTGCTTCATATTATAAAAGACGCAGCAGCTTTAAGGAATACTCTTCAAAGTATTTCTACACTTCTTTCCAGGAAAACAAGTTTTACTATAAGGTAAGAGCCGTGTTTTTCCATGCGAAGAAGTAGTAGTAGTACATCGATAATGAGAGAGAAAGAAACGAAAGAAACTTGAAAGAACATTTTGAAAAATTTTGAAAAAGAAAACGACGGAGTGGTGGATAAATGGAAAGAAGGTACTCGTTTATTTAAGTATGCACACTTGCACACTTGTAATCGATAAATATTTTTAACGCATTACTTAACGGCAATTAAATAAACTGATGCATTCACAAAATATCAAATTTAATTGAATATAAAATTATTCGATAATACTGTGGGGAGAATTTTTGTTTAATAAGAAGAAATATAATCCAAATTTATGTCACTTTTTTTTAACACAGATCGTTAATATAATTATATTAATTATATTTAATAAATTTTTATATGAAAATACAATAATCAAAAATGTGTTAAAGATAATGTTTATTTTTTGTTTCTGCAATTTTCTCTCAAATTGTATGAAAATATTTTTTAATAGAAAGTTCCCCCCCGCCCATCGTATGATTTTTATTTTCTTATAGTTGAATCAAAAATGAAACATAAAACTTGTTCATAAGTATGTATTAATAATTATGCAATAAATGTATACCCAAACTTTATTTAAAAATCAATAAATAAATATTTGTATTTTCTTAAAGTTGAATCAAATGAAACCTAAAACTTGTCTTGTAATAATTATGCAATAAATGTTTACCCAAACTTTCGATCAGTATTATAAATAACTTTATTTATAAATCAATAAATAAATATATAATATTAAATACGATAACGCGTAACTGTATCATTTTTTAACATAACATTACTTTATTATGTAACAACAACAACAACAACAACAGCAACAGGATCGAATCGATCAAGCATACAAACGAACTCTCATTCGTTCATTCATTCGTTCGTTCCTTCGTTCGTTCATCTACTCGATTATTCGTTCGTGGATAAAATTTTAATTTACGACCTTAAAACCCATCGCGTATATACCCTACGCTTTACGAAGAATCCTACAATCGCGAGAAATTCGCGTTTGCTTTATGCATTCTCAAGTTGAAACTTTCAGTTTGACCGTTAAAGCTTTCGCATCGGGGAAAAATGAAAATGATGATGAAACGAATGAAAACGGGAAAAGGATTGCATCATCATCATCATGGGGCTTGAAATTCTCGAGGTTTCAAGTATATATAGTTGAACAATAAAGTAGAAGAGAGATAGATAGATAGATAGATAAAAAAAGAAAGAAAGATAAAGGACATAAAACAACGAGCAACTTCGGTTTGTATTAAATCGGAAGATTGGAATTCTAATTAATGTTCCAGGATTATCGATAATGAGACGACGATGGTAGTAGAATGAATGAGGGTGACAAAGATGCTCAACAAAAACGACTTGTTCTTAGTACCCCCACCCCCTGTCCCAGTTTTTCTACATTTTCTTCTACCCTTCAAACCCTCAATGGAAAATTCGACTCGCTAACCTCGTCTTCTACTTTTCCGATGCAATTAGAAAATACGAAAGAAAAAGGAATGAAAATATATGTACAAACGGGGGATGAAAAAAAAAAAGAGAAAAATAAGAAAATTGCGAGAAGTTATGTAACAAGATAAATAATGAAACTTTGTTCGAGTATCGATTCGTAAATTTTATTCTATAAATATAAACTTATAGTATAATAATAATAATAATATATATATATATATAGTACTAACCCCTAGTAAGTTTTTTTTAAATTAAAAGTAGAATCACGTTGAAAATTATAGAAAAATACGAGGTTATATCGATTCGATCACTTCTTCTATCTCAAAAAATTACACACAAATGTTTAATAAAAATTCAATATAACTAATTTGTATTTTTATTTTATATATATTATAGAAATTTTTGAATCGATCAAATTATTTATCATTTGTTGATGATAACATACAATTTTTATTTGTTTCGTTATTATAAAAAAGAAAAAGAAGAAAAGAAACACACAAGGAAAAACTTAAAAATAAATCCTCATGAATCACGGCCAGTTTGCAGATTATCGTCATCATTTTAACTTTGTTTATTTTTATTTCATTTTCTTTTTAACACTTTCCTTCTCTCTCTTTCTCCCCTTGGTTGGTTCTTCTTCGAATCCTCTTCCGTAACGCGGAATGCTTTGAAAGACATCGTTTCAGACTCATAAGAGAAGAACTTTCGAATAAGAATAAAGATAACGCGAGAAAAGACTGTATTCCTACTCTTTTGTATCCTTTCATCATCTTTTCTACCTCGACTATCCTTAAGTTTTAAAAGAGTTAATTCGATGCGGTAAACGCCGTGAAACATTGAGTTGAGAATTTACAGTTAAATATCTCTCTCTCTCCCTCTCTCTCTTTTTAATTTTCTTTTTGTTTTTTATCTCTTACCTCTTTTTCACACCCTTATTGTCATCAGAATGAATGAAAGAGAGAGAAACAATGAGAATGAGAATGAGAATGAATATACACGTATGATAAATGTAATTGTGTGTCTGTATCTGTCTCTGTGTGTATATATGTTGCTTACTAATTCGTTCACTCGTTCGTTCATTCGTTCACTCGTTCGTTCATTCGTTCACTCGTTCATTCGTTCGTTCACTCTTGCCTGCTCTTACGTTTACGTTTAACAAACCCTCTCTAACGTTACGGCACTTTTCTCTTTCAGGAAGGCGAGAGGGGATACTTGGAGGGACTAGCTTCAAGGTATGCAGACCTCTTCAGAACGCATTACGGAGATGTCCTGGAGCCGCTTGAGGAGCTACGCCGACGCGAAACAAATGCTTCCCCCAGAATGCCCAACACTCAACTTACCACCAGTCATTCACAGCCCATTTACGTGCCTGGAAAATACTCTGTGAGTAAATCCTCTCTCTCTTTTTTTTATTTTTATTTTTTCTCTTTCTAGATAATACATGACTTTTCACGTCCTATTGTTCGAACAATTTTTTTTAGATCTTTCTCTCTATTGGTCAAAAGTTTCGAATCATTTGTTGATTTATTCTAAAACATTCTGATCAGCTAATTTAAAATTCAATTTTGAACTTTTGTTTTCTATAATTTATATTACCTAAATGTACTTTAACTATTTGGGTATATCTTTGACAAATTATACAAAAATTTATAGAAAAATCTATTCAATTAGAAACAATATTTCAAAACAATTCATTTGTAAGAATTCTACTAATTGTCAAATTGAAATATACAAATTCGATAAAATTATTCGTTCTAACATTAAAAAAACGAAGGAACAAAATAATACAATATAAAAAAATATATCACTATTAATATTACAATGACAAATAAATCAACTATCACTTATTAAATTCACATAATAATCTCAAACTTTTGACTTAATATAAAATATAGAAAAAAAATCTTTATCCGACTTTGTATATAATAATCTACATAAATAAAAAACTTAACGAAATAACGTGTAATAGTAAGTTTTGAAAATCATGATCAGTCTTTTAACTTCTCTTACATAAAACAAAGTGAACGTGTATCGATGGTTAAAGGATCGAGTTGTCCGTCGAGAGTAATTTTCCAAAGTGGTTTAAGACGATCAGACCGTGTAAACCTTACCCTCTCCTTTCTCTACCCCTCTCACCCCATCCCCTTCCTTCCATCCATTATCTCTGTCTCTGTCTGTCTTTAGAGAATCGATTGATCGATCCTAAAGCTTAAATCGGTCATTGTTCGTAGCCGAGAAACCTTTACTGGTAACACCGTCAACGATTAATCGAGTTTCCAATCGCGAGAAATCGATTGCCGATTAAGGTCAAGCTCCTTCAAGAGAAAAAGAGAGAGAGAGAGAGAATGAAACACTCTTCCCCCTCTCACCTCTCCCCCACCCTTCTTACCCCATTCCACCCTCTGCAACCATTTTCCAACCCTCCTGTGGACGCGTCGACGTGGAAAATTAATAAGGAACTCTTCCCGTTCGTTCATCTTCGATAAGAAGAAAGAAACTTCGAAGAAAATCATTGTCGATGATTTAAACGCGAGTACACCGTGAACTTTTTTTTCTATTTTCTTTTTCTTTTTTTTTTTTTTCGTTAACTTTTCTTCTTCTCTCTGCGAGGAAAATTAAAAAAAATATATATATATAAAAGGAAAAGAACGAGAAAATTTTTCTCATCAATCCTTCGACAAATTGTCTCTCTTCTATTTATTTCTATCATCTATGGTTCGTAGTAGAAAAATTTTTCTCCAATCGCTTGCTACGATGATTTTTTTCTTTTTCTTTTTTTTTTTGTTCTTCTTCTTCGGTTTACTTTTTTTCTTTTTGTTTTTTTTTTTTCTATAACAAAATTTCAAATAATAACGAAGATAATGGTTTAGGAAAGATAGATAGAAAGATGTGGGAGTTTGATATATTTTTTTTTTTCTTTCTTTCTTTCTTTCTTTTTATCTATTTCTTGAAATATAGATTTTTATAATAACGAAAAGATTATTTTTAAAATAATAAAAATTTAAAAACGTTTGTTATTCTCTTTTTCTATTTTTAAGAGAACATAATTTGTACTCCTCCCTTTTTTTATTCTTTTCTTTTCTTTTTATATAACAAATTTGAGAAAATAATTATTAAAAAATTATTATACTATGTATATAATAAACTCGAAGAGATACTTATAAGAATTAAAAATTAACTAACACTTTTTATTTTTCCTTTTTTTGTCCAGCCATCCAGTTGTCTCAGTGATAAAGAAGAAGATGAGATCTATGGTTTCGGTTATGGTGTTTTTAGTAGACAAATGCTTCAACATCGCCAACAAAAACTCGCACTCGCAACACAAAATGCAACCGTCATGACGGCAGCTGGTCATCCACAACCCTACCAAAGGTACTTTTATTTTCCTTCGATTTAATATTATAAACAAAAAGACACAAAGATAAAACAATATCAAATTTGCCGATTTTAAATACATTTATATTCTACATAAATATTTTTAAAAAATATATAAAAAGGTTCTCAACACTTGAATTTCATTTAAATATCTGCACGAATCTAAAAAAAGAAAAATATTTCTGCACGAGAATAAATATGCTCGATAAATAAATAAATGATGTGAATAAATAAAGAAAAAAAGATTTTTATTCGCGTCAGTTTTAAGAACACGTGAGAAATTTCTACGTGACGTGCTGGAAAGGGTCAATAATGTTCTAAAATTAAGTGAGAGAATAAAGACGAGAGTTAAATTTTTTCCATTCTTCTTACCAGCATAACGCACGTGATTATGTTGGAATCACGTTAATGTGAAATACCGAATACGTGCCGTTTCTACGTCTACAACGATTCAACTCGCGCTTCTCTTTGCTGCAACGAATGTTCATGACGTTGACTCGTTCTACCATGAAAAATGTAATCCGATACTTACTTTTTTACTCGGATTCTTATTTAAATTAAAATATATATTCTCGTCCAATCGTATTTTTTCATCTTATTCATCTTCTATTTCTTTCTTATTTCCTTTTACTTTTAATATTTTGTTCTCTTTGTCTTTTGCAGTTGTCTGAGCCCGAGATCAGCATTTTTCTACGAATTTCCACCTAATGGTAAGTCTTCAGAATTTTATATTCGACTTAATGTATTTTTAAGATAAGTATATTATACTGTATAATATTATATTGATGATACTTTTTTTTTTTAAAAAAAAACAAAATATATATAGAAACAATTATTTATTAATTAAATATATTTTTATATACGATAGACAATTTAATATTAAACCTTTTCTATAACTCGATTTCTTTTGGGTCACACTGAAATTGTCATAATTTGAATAAAACGAGTACGATAAAAGTATCTCTACTATAGTTTATCCAAATTAATTAAGATCAATGCAAATTATAATAAAACATATATATACAATATTTCAAAAAACATTTCATTCTTATTTCTACTAGTAGAATATACACACTTACAATTTACCTATTAAATTCTGAAACATTCTGTATCTATTATAACAAATTTGTTCATCCTATTGAATAATAACGTTATTTCTATAATACCATTTTTTAAAATGATTGAGTATAATTAATGATCATGACTAGATCAAAATATATCCAATTGAATTTGATATAAACGATGTAACGAGAAATCAGGTTAAATAAAATCAAAACAAATAAATACTAATCTCGTTAGCATTATAAAAAATTTTCCCATGATATCGAGAAACACTTTAGATCCCATATTGGAAAGGCACTTACTCGGTGTACCCAAAAGACGTGGAGAAATGTGGAACGTGAGTGGTGAGAGAGTAGTATTCCGGTTGATACTTCATTTCTGTCGACTCCTTCTACCCATCTGGGTGCCCATTCCGTACCGTCGTCTGCTATGGCTATGAATACATAATTGAGATCGAGACCTTCCTCGTAAGTACCACGTAGAGGAACGTATTCCTTCGAGATATTCACGACAGGAAGAATCTTCTCATCCTTTCGATCCTCCTGTTCTTTCAATATATCCAAATCTTTCGTCATCTGGACAACGCATTACCCAAATGTTACAGTCACATATCTCGTATGTATTGTTTTAGATTTTATTTTGTTTCTTTTATTTTTTTTATTAATTTCATAATACGTCAATTTTTAAATAAATTAAAATAATTATTGTATTATATAAATTATTATTAATATAATAATAAATTATTATTAAAATAAATTATAAAATAAAAATTTAAATAAATTTTGTATTCTTGAGAGAAGAATATTGTAATAATTATTTCAAATAATTATAAATGTGCAACTTGCGCACACGAATTACTCGTGCAACATTTATTCTTTCCAAATATAATTATAATAAATACGTGAACAAATAAAAAAGTAAAGGTACGAAATTATTATATATCAATTTACATTTCAAATAGTATAAATTCAAACAAATTTCTTAATAATGGAAGTTAAATTATCATCTAACATTACTAATCACACAAAAACCTATAATCATCGTATTCAAATTAATCGTCAAGAAACGTCGAAAGAAAAAACCCTATAACTTCCATCGATAATACTTGACGTCCTATCGATTAATATTAAAAACACCAAGTTTCGTATTGTAATTTACATGGCCGCGGTTAAATTATCGAATTACCGAATGGAGGTAAGGACAAGCATAAATTGTTGTTGTATGACTAGCCAGCCAGCCAACAACAAGTCCGAGCGAGGTTGGGCCAAGGTAAACTTCGTAAGGAAAGTTAAGCTTGTCTCCTGTTGGTATTCCTATTCCGATCGGTATAAGGGAGTGAAGCACGTTCGTTGCTCTAGAGGTTCTGAGAAATCCTCGTCCTCGAGTTTAAAGGTACCTTCCAAATTCCAAGACCACGTCCATGAAGAGGAGGATCTTAGCCAAAATAGACCCGAGGTGTTGGGAGAATGCTCGTGACCAGTTTCGAATAGGACTAGCAAGAAACGTTGAAATATTCTCTCTCTCTCTCTCTCACACACACACACAAACATACAAACACAGAGAGAGAGAGAGAGAGAAATGCACAAGTATACATAGGATCTGTGTGTTTCACTCCTTCCGCCTACCAAATCGGAGAACTAATCAGTTTGGTTGTGGAAAGGAAGGCAGGAGTTGAAGGAGACGAGGTGGAGGCTTTGGGATTCGGGGTTGGGGATTGGGGGTTGGGGGGGTAGTAGGTTCGCGTTTAACAGTAATTCCGTGTAAGAGGCGCCAATGCCGGATTGCCGCAGCACTTAGCAGTTGTCGCGCACAATGGTGCGAGGGCGCAACCACCCCAATTCCAAAACCGAGAGCAACGTGGATTTGCTGGGATGCGCAAACAGGGTTGCTTGGGTTGCTCGCTTAGCGAAGCGCGCCAACTGTTCGAGAGCAAGCCTGTTTGTCTGGACTGGAATCTAACTAAGAGTTAGGTTTAGCAAGGGCCGCCGGATCGGAGTTGGATCGAAACGTGGGACAGGAGAAAGCTGAGGAGGGAGGATGGATTCTGGCTGCCAAGAAACGAGCTCCTAAAACGAGCATCGCTTATCCTTGTTTCTCTCATTCACACTCTATCGCTATCTCATTCCTCTCATTCTCACATTCTCATTCTCTCATTCCACATCTTATCCTCTTCTCTACCTACTGCTACCATCCATCAGCCAACAACACCTTCTACCGTATTAGATTTACTGGAGATGTGCTACGACAAATTTCTAATTAGAGTACGAGTTCTATCCTCTTTCTTTATCTATCTATCTATCTCTATCTCTCTCTCTCTCTCTCTCTCTTAATGACTCCTTGATATTCCTTTTACTTAATTAATCACTCATTACTTATCCTTATTTTGAATTCCTAGATAATTACGTAGGTATCCCATTTATTTTATCTAACATTTTCTCCAATGGGAAATTTAATCTAAGTTTAGTCTTACTTTTAAAAAGTAAAATCAACATTATATATAAACATAGAGAGTAACACACCATAAAATTTCAAGAACTTTAAAAGCAAACCTAAATAAACTCATTACCAATTACAATCCAATTATAACATATGCACACATATATATATATATATATATATATATATATATATACATCTGAAAAATATATTCTACAAATAAACACGTCAAAAATTCAAACAAAAATATAATAAACTTTTACCTATAAACAACACATATAATTTTCTTCAATTCTTATCAAACAATTGAAAGATTAACCGAGAGAAACTTAGAAAATAAGGATATATAGAAGAAGAGTGAAACGGGATGATGATAATGATGATGGTGTAGGTAGGGTTCCCCCTTCGTTGGTATTTAATGCGTTCTTCTTCTTCTTCTTCTTCTCCGAGAGTGTGGTGCAAAGGCACGCAATAGGATCCGACAGGGACAGAAAGGGATTCACTGCGTCCCTTAGAGGACGAGCATGGGCAACGACGTCGTCCTTTGTGGAAGGGTGGAGGGAGAGGCTTTTTACAGGCACACGAAGGTCGAACGTTCTCTCACAAAGGACGAGGACGACGACGACGACGACGACGACGACGTTGATGGGGTTTGGGGCCAGGGGGTACGGAGAGTAGAGTATAGGGTGAAGGGGAAGGTGGGAGGAGGGGGAAGGTGGGGGGAAGAAGATTCGAACCGTAAAGCGAACGGTGATAGAACAGATCGGAGATCCGTTTGTATGGGGTGGAATCCAACGAGGGCGATGGCCTTATTCCCTTGTGTAATTGCATTTCGGTGCCGTTCTATCATGGTGTTTGCCATGGCAGCATCAGGGTCGACGATCCTACGTTTAGTGTGTACACATTATCTCTCAACGATGAGTAACGCCGATTCGCCGAAGCGCATCGGTCTCTCTCAAAATTTCGCACGATAGTTAGATAGATTTCCATATATATGTATCTGAATATCTTTACTTGTATTGGGATTGTGTTCATATAATATATACGTATTTTAAGGGGGAAAGGGTGGTTTTTTTTTTTCTATAAGTAATGTGTAGAAATTTATGGTCGTTGGTTACGTACGAATTTAAATTTTTGTATGTATGCAGGAAAAGTAACAGGAGGGGTGTTATTCGTATAAATAAATTTGAGTTTTTTCCTGTATGTGGTGGTATGCGTAAAATTTTGTGGTTACGTGTATTGTTGTATGGGTAGATTTCTATTTGTCCTATGTTGTTGAATTTTACGACTGGCGTGTAATGCACGTATATAGTATAGTGAATGTGTATACGTGTATGCAATGAGGGGGGATACATCATAGGTGTACAACGCGCGTTTGGGATTGTGTATACGCGTTGTGTTATTTTTAAATCGTCAATAAAGTTGCCAGTTCGTCGACTACGGAATTTTCACGTTCGACGCGCGCGAGATATGTTTGAATTTTTCACCTATCCCAGGGTATCTCCGAAAACCCCATCATCCACCCACCCTTCACCCATCCTCTAGCATCTCTCTCTTTCTCTCTCTCTCTTTTTATTTTTCCTTTTTTTCCTGTATAGCCTAGCCGCCAAATGTATTTATTTAAAATTTAGACCCCATCCTCGAGAGTTCGTTTAAAAGCATTCACACGTGTCGAATACACGTGTGTGTGTGTGTCTGGTTTTATTCTCAGTCTCCCGATATATTTTGTAGTTTATTGATTCACGTAAACGGAATGATTATTTCGCTAAATGTCAGCGTGTATAGGTAGAAGGGGGTGAGGGAGGGGGTGGGGGGTATAAGTAAATATCGAAATATCGAATGGAATATAATTATTCATTGAATATCCTAATTTATTAATGAAAAAGAAATAAAGAAAACCGAAAAAAAAAATAAATTGAACAGTTGTAATATTGTTATTTGTTTTTTTGTTTCTTTTTCCTTATACATAGAACCGTAAAAATTTTGGTTGAAAAGTTTGAAAGAAAATATTTCTTGCAAGGCGTTCGTTGAGAAGAAAGGAGTTCTCGTTATTTCCTCGTTTTGGCTTTTCCTCGATTACCTCTGAAAATGAATGGTCTGCTTGCTCGCTTGCTTGCTTCGTTGCTTCTGGATACCTTTAGACCAACCACGTCAAACTTGTTTACCAGCAAGGAAAACATGAAGTATTATAGAACAAAACGTGTGCCGTATT